TTTTCAACTTTGAATTGTTTGAGAAACTTACTGTCATTGTGTTTGAGTTTAATTTGGATGTAAGAGTACTTACTGTTTTCATCATTCACTCAAGAACAATATGTAAGGATAGGTCCGAGGTTAAGGACTTCAGACGTACTGTAACAATTTCTTAATAGTCGAAATGAAGTTAAATCCACCACTTTCCGGTCAAATGGCTACATGATAAATACAGTGGACATGCCCACACCTGATCTATCATACACAATTTCTCAGTCCCAAATTTATCGCCTTAAGGGACACGTCACACTCCAATTATCTTGTTAAGCAAACCACGTGGACACCTTACTAAGGCCTATAAATACCTCCCAAGAGCCACCTTAGAAAGGTAATTGAAACCGATCGAAAGCTTCTCTTTAATTATTCTTAAAAGGTAGATTCGATTATTGCTGACTTAAGCATCGGAGTATCTACCCCGAGGACCCACCTCGGGGCTTTGCAAGTTCATCTGAAGTGAAGACGCAAACTGAAGAAGGGCTTCTAGTTTGGTGCAATTACATTGGTGCTGTCTATTGGAATCCGAACTGAAAACTCTCTTGTTGCTCTCTCATCATGGTTAACACTTGATCAGTCCGAGCTGGAAATCAATCTCAACCTCTTGGATAAGGTCAACCCCCAACAACCTTCCACTTCACCTCCCACCTTCGTTCACGAATCTATTCCCTCCTGTTGACTGAGAAGAAGGCGGAGATGAAAACCAACCTCGCAACTCAGCTCACAACTCAGCTTCCACTGCTAATTAAGATGTAGTTACAGCTCAGCTCGCTGCCATGCAACAACAATTTGGTGTTTTCTAATTAGTTTTGGCTCAGCTTCTAGCTTGGAATAATCCTGGTGATCCCCTCATCAATCTACTCAACCCTATTCAACAACCTCCTGTTCAACAGCAAGATCCTCAACCATTTCAGCATGCTCTTACTCTCAGTGAGTCTCAGGTTTAGTCTCGTGCAGCTCCAATTCCACACCCTCTACCTAATGATGTCACACAACGACTCAACAGCTTAGAAAAACTGGTAGCTGAGCAACAAGGTGCCCCACCTCCACATCATAATACAAATTCCATACCTCATCCTTTGAACACTAATATCACATTGGAACCTTACCCCGTTAGCTTCAAGATACCTCAACTTGAGACATATGATGGGACGAAGGATCCAGATGATCACCTCCATGCCTTTTACTCTTGTATGCAAGCTCAGAACGCTTTTGATGCATTGATGTGCAAAATCTTTCCCTCCACTCTCCATGGCAATGCTGGAATCTAGTATTATAGTTTGCTCCCGAGATTTATCAGCTCATATTCAGAAATGGCATCTACTTTTGCCACAAAGTTTTTTAGTAGAAGATTGATAAGAAAAACCACTTCTAAACTGATGCGAGTCAAGCAGAGGGAAGGAGAATCTCTGAAGAATTATATGAGTCGGTTCAACGATGCAGTCCTCGAAGTCAACTCATTCAACCAAGCCGTGGGAATTGCGGCTGTAATTCAAGGTCTCCAGCACGAGAGATTCAAAGATAGCTTGATCAAGTATCCTACTGCTACTTTTAATGAAGTCAATGACAGATCGTTGAAATTCATAACTGTTGAGAAATATGCCTTATCACAGAAACCAATTCTTCCCAAGAACCAAAACCCAGATTCGAGAGATGAGGGTCAGAGTAGAAAACGGATGAAGACAGTGCAGAATCGAGGTCCAATGATGACCTCCACACCGAAATTTGAGAAACCGAACTCGATACCACCCCAGCAGGTTACTACTAAAGCACTAGTTACATGGACCCTTTTCAATCTGCCGAGGTCGTAGATATTCATGCATATCAAGAATAAGATGGACTTAAGGCAACCAGGACCAATGAGAAGCTCCGCTGCTACACGTGATCATACTAGATATTGTGATTTTCATCAAGATCATGGTCATACAACGGAGCAATGTAATAGCCTTAGGTCCGAGCTGGAAAGTCTAGCTCAAAAGGGAATACTGAATGAATACATCCAGAGATCCGAGCAACCAAAATTTGTCAGAGAACAAGGGCCACAACCGTAGGGATCTTGTAACCTAGGAAATAAATAAGGAGTAGGATATCAACAAGCTCCACCACCGCTTCCGCCACCAGCTTGAATTATACACATGATTACCAAAGGATTGGAAGCAGGAGGTTTGAGCTCCAAGGAGAGAAAATTGTGTGTTAGGGAGGTGAAGCATCAAAATCGAGCCTAGAAACAAAAGTTTGACGACGCTAACTGGAAAAATCAACCAATCACTTTCACATTTGCTGATTTCGATACAATTGTCACCCCTTATAATGATCCCTTGGTCACTTCCGTTATGATTAACAACTGTGAAGTAAAACGTGTCCTTATTGACATAGGGAGTGCACCAGACATTATGTACTTTCACAGTTTTGAGAGGCTTGGGTTGGATCCAGCTTTGTTACAGAGGTACGATGGTCCCATCTATGGATTCAATAACCAACCTGTTCAGGTAGAAGGAGTCCTTACTCTCAATGTTGCTTTTGGGAGTGGCCGAACATATGTTATCCCATCAGTTTGGTTTCTAGTTGTGAAAATGGCATCCTCTTTGAATGCTGTTATTGGACAACCCACGTTAACCGAGATCCGAGCTATGGTCTCTCAATCTCACCTCTGCATGAAGTTCCTAACTCCCATGGGGATAGCAACGTTATGAGGTAACTAGGAGATAGCTCGACATTGCTATATTACCTCGGTTACAAGGCCTCAAAAAGGCAAAGATCAGACACTAGAAACCATTCCCCAATAAGTTCATGATAGTCAGCAAGTAATGGGAGTTGAGATAGTAGACAACCGACCTAAAGATGAAACCAGAGCTACCCCAGTTAAGGATGTAAAAGAAGTGCAAGTTGATGACAAAGATCCAAACAGGAAAACTCAAATTGGAACTCGGTTGAACCCAAAGGAAAGAGCAGACTTAATAGCTTTCCTCTGAACCAACAAAGATGTCTTCGCTTGGACCTCAGCAGACATGCCAATGATCCCAACCTCGGTATCTCAACACAAACTCAACACTAATCCATTAAAGAAACCAATAGCCTAGAAGCGACATCTCTTT